ATGTGCCAACTATTGGGTTTAAGGATAGAACCTACCGAACATGTTTGCCTATTGCATAAGTCCCTTTATGACCTTTAACAATCCCTTAGGTAGTGGTACAAGGATTTGACTCATTAATAGTAGGAGTTGGGTTTATTAGAAGCGAATATGATCGGTTTCTATTTTGCTTGCATAAATAATGCCTATATACCTACTACTATACGTAAATGCCATGCTACTAATATGAAAATATAAGTCACGCATAGATGAACTAAAAGCAAAACTAAGTGCTGATTTGATATGAAAGACTTGGGGTGTGCAAAAAGATTTTGGGATGATAATGGATAGAAACAGAAAATTAAATAGGCTGAGACTTCACCAACTATCATACCTGTAAAAACTGACTTCTAGGTTTGGAATGACTGAACTAACCTATTAACATCCCTTAGCAGGTCACTTTACATTGAGTAAATTACAGTGCCCCAAAATTGATGCTAAAAGGCTAAAAATGGAAAATATCCCTTACTTAAGTGCCATAGGATCTGTCATGTACTCCATGATAACACAAGACCCAATCTTTCATTTGCAATATCATTACTAAGTAGGTTTATGTCAAATCCAGGAATAGAACATGGGTTGCATTAAATGGCTGCTTATTACATTAACAACACAATGCATTTTGGATTAGACTTTTGCAAAAGAACTCTCACACTTGATCTTGTTGGGTATGTAGACTCTGATTTACAGGTGACGAGGACTCAAGGAAGTCCACTACAACCTATTGCCTCACCTTAGGTGGAAACTGCATCATTGAAATCACAACTACAACCATGGTTGCACTGTCCACAACAGAAGCTAAGTACGTGGTAGTGACTGATGCATTCAAGGAGGCAATACTGTTGCAATGGATCTTGAAGGAAGCAAGTTTGATGGATGGACTTGTGACTGTGTATTTGACAGTCAAAGTGCCATTCATCTAAGTAAAAACCCTGTATATCATGAGCAGATGAACACCATGGATGTGAATTATCATTTTGTCCGAGATCAAATCACAAAAGGAACTTGAATCTGCTGAAAATACTAACTGAAGAGAACCCAGCTGATATGGAACAAAAGTGGTACTCCTGCAAAGTTCAAGCATTGCTTGAACCTACTGCACATCAATTGATCGGTATAGAGTTGAGAAGGAGTATGTGAGAACCTTCTACCAATTTTTGTTGCTGACTGAAAAAAAAAAAAAAAAAAAAAAAAAAAAGGCTTCAAGGTGGAGATTGTTATTTAGTGAGCCTTATACACTCCATTTTAGCTTTATACATCTTGCATTTCTGGCCATTGATCTCTAAACATCCAACGGTTGAAGACTCACCTACTGGTCAACCATTAAAAAGCTGAAGTCTTTCCCCACTCTTACTCTCTCGTTCGATAGAAGTCACTCAATCAAAAATTACTCGCTATGGTTTTCTGTATAGAGCTTTGCTATTGTGTAAATCTGTGGTTAATCCACCTATCAAAGTTGTGTTTCTGTGTGGGTAGAGAATCAGATTAGAATTCTATTTAAGATTATTGATTTACGGGTGTAGGAGTGAAGCTATTGTGATTCTTGTAGTGAGGTGTGAAGGGAAGTTTGATTGTGTGATCTATAATCTTTGGGTGACAGTAATAATAGTGCAGCGAGCCTCCATATTCTGGAGTACAACATGGACGTAGCTTGTTCAATCTTGAACAAGTGAACCACGTAAAAGATCGCGTGTTCTCTTTTATTGGTTTTCTTTGTGATCTTTGCTTGTTGGTTTGACTCTTGTCTTGATTAGGTAGACTCGGTTTTACAACAATTAAAAACTCATATAGTAGCAGTTAAAAGATCTGCAATTTCTTTAAGCTTTACCATAAACTCGGTTATTTTAAGAAATAATATCTCTCAGAGTTTAACAAAGCAGTAAAACAAGTTAATATTTGCTATAACATCCCTGGAAGCTAGAGTTTCTATTCGTTTGTTTCTTGTGAAATGAAAGATGGGGAAGGAAAAGAAAATTATAGTTTTATAACTACCCTACTGGAAATAATTGAGGAAAGATGGAGCTTATGGGCCAAGGTAGTTGTCGTTTTAGCAGCCTTCCCCACTCTTATATATTAGGAAAGAGCATTAGCAGCATATTTTTCACCACACTAGTTGTTATTGTATTTAAAAAAAAGGGCTTTGTGTAAATAATGTTAAGAAGGAGACAAGCTACACCTACTATATTTGCTTGTTCAATTATTCAAAAAGTTCTGATTATTTTTCACTACGGCTAGTTGTTATTGTAATACAAAAGACTTCGTATAAATAAGTTCGAATGAGACAACTAACCTAACATATATTTGTTTGTTACAGATAAAAAAAAGAAACTTTGTAAAAATAATATAAAGAAGTACACAACCTAACATATAATTAATAATTTTAAACTGAAAACTACCTAACATATATTTTTTTTGTTACAGATTAAAAGACTGTATGAATAATGTCAAAAAGTAAGGAAAGTAACAGTCAAATTAATTATTTTATTTCCTCTAAGTTCGTTGTTGTTTATGAAATCATCTAGTCCAATTACACAGTATCAATATTATCAAGGCATGTGTTTTCCTAAAATTTAATTATTATCAAAATTACTCATATTTTAATGCTGATTAAAGAAGTTCTGAGACTTCTGGAAGAAGAATTTATTAATGTGTGCACTTACTAAAATTTTGAAAAGGAAGAACAAGTTAAGGCTCTTCAACTGAAATCAAAACTTTGAATCATAAGTTAATTTTGATTCAATTTAATTTGATTTATGAATTACAGTTGGCTTAAATTTGTTTTGCTATAATATAAAAAATGTATAACAGTAGACAAAGAATAAAATAATTTGTTCCAATTATAACCCCACTTAAGTAAAACATGGGGTTGAAGAAGAAATATTAGGAGTGTTTTTTGAGCTTATGAAATTAGTTTATAGCACAATATTTATAAGCTAATTTTAGCTTATAAGCATTTGAAATTTAAAGCAAGTACGTGTTTGGTTAAAGTACTTATAAGTGACTGATAATATTTTGACGTGTTTGGTAAAATGTGGCTTTAAGTACATTTTATTAAATGACTAAAAAATGTACTACATTAAACAAGGGTATACTATGAAATTTTAAATTAAACAAGAATAATGTGGTAATATACTTGGTCAAACTAGCTTATAAGCAGAGTGCTTATAAGTCAAAAAAAAAAAAAAAAAAGTACCTCCCCTCAACTTATTTTTTTTTTACTTAAGCTCATAAAAATTATAATAACTGGTCACTTAATTTAGAGCTTATAAGCAATTTGACCAGTTTTAATGTAGACAAACACCCCCTAAGAGAGGCTAAAAACTTGAATTGATTCAAAAGATAAAATAGAAAATAGAAAATAGCAATTGAAATAAAATTCTTATTCCTTAAAGAGCAAGTCAATTATCATCAACGAATTAAGTGTCAATGAAAAGATAAAAAGTCGGCCATAGTAAGGTCTTGAGTTTCGCGATTTGGGTTGATTTCCATCGTGGTCTTTATGGCGGACATAAATGAACAATTTTCCACCATCATTTTGGTTTGTTTGAAAATGTATTAGCTTCGTTTCCGGTGAACCCAACCAATCTATTTTAGATCTAATTTTTCCAATCAATTTCGTCAACTTTTTGGCTGAAAATTGATAGAAATAACAATGGCTGTCGTTTTTGTTCTTTTAAGTTTATAATGGCTGGGGATCCTCATAACACCCTTTTTTAATCCACCTCTATGATTAAAATTAGAAATATACCAAATTAAGTTTATATCTTTAAAATAATTCAGTATTCCAAATATGAATTTAATTTAGAAATAGTTGATTTAATAGAAAGAAAAAGTCACACAGATTCATATATTAATTGAGGAAAGGTATTAGCAGCTTCAGACTTTAAATTTTTTGCCTTTCTGCCCCTGACTTAAAAGTGCACATGCTCTAAACAGTCATTATTTTTTTTGAGTTCTAGCTGTCAGAAAATATGACCAAGCAGCTTAAAAGGAAATTGAGCTCCACTTCAAATATTTCAACTTATTGACCCAGCGATTCACTCCATTTGCACTTAGATTGTCTAACTTTCTACAGACAAGACATTTTGAAAGGAGAAAAGTTTTTAAAAGCAAATATAAAAGAGAATCTTTTACACCGTGTGTGAAAAGAAAATGAAATTATTATTTTAAATAGTATTTTTTAGAAAAAGTTGTGTTATCATTACGACGAAAACATGATTTAAATTTGAAAATGCATTTGATAAAATTATTTTGTAACCCTTATATTTATTAATTTAGTTAAACATCTTTTATAATAAAAATTTTAAAATTAATAAAATATTTTTATCCACTTATTAATGTGATAGCTGACCACTATCGTAAAAGGGTGATTAAAAGTTTAAATATTTTAATTTTTACTGTTGAGGATTTAATTAAATAATATTCTAGGTTAAATAGATATATTATATTTTAAAAATAGTAAAATACCGTGTATTTTGAATAGGGTGACAGGGAAAGAGACAGCAAACTTCGTATCTCACTTTCTCCCACCACCGAAAAAGCTTTTGTGACTGTCCAACCACGTAGCCTTACGGTGTGTGACCATTGAGTCCACGAATATTGCCTACAACTAATTAATTAGTCTGAATTGTTTGTGTTTATCAAACCATCTTATAAATACATGTCATTGTGCACTTGAATATTTCATTCCTGAGTTTTGAGATTTCGTGTTTTTGTGCACTGCTATAGATTGAAGCAGGGTAATTTAGGCTGCAGGATATCGATCATAAAATTATTTGAAGTATGCAGCAAATATATTCTGAATTATGTACGTATGATGTGAATGATTATTTTGAGAATCAAGTTATGTTTGGTGTCGTCATAGCTTCTCTCAAAATCACCTGTTTCTAAAAATTATTAATTCGAATGTTTTTACCTACTTAATAGTGAAATGCATGTTAATGATTTTGTTACTAGTGATCAGGATGGAGAATGGTGAAACAGGACTTCAACAAACGGAAATAAGCAATGAGGCATTGATTGACATACAAGAGTCTGACTCAGACTTCGAAGGAAGTAAACAAATGGAAAGAAGCAATGATGATGCGGTGACTGACATTAAAGTTGAAGACCTGGACTCGGTATTGGAAGCAAGTGAACAAATGGAAAGACGTGGTGAGGATGCAGTGATTGACGTGGGAGACCCGTACTTAAAATTGGAAACTTCTCTAATGAATGAACTGGAATCTTTGCATCCTTTATCTGAAAAATGCATCATCCATAGAGTTCAAGAGAAATTACGTCAGCTAGATCAAAAAGCCTACACACCTCGAATAGTCTCTATTGGTCCAATTCATCACGGTAAACCAATGTTAAGAGCAATGGAAGAGTATAAAATAAGGTACTTACAAAAGTTTCTTCAAAGAATTAATCAAGTAGGCTTGAAAGATTTTATAAAAGTTATAAAGAAAAAGGAAACAAAAGTGCGTAATTGTTATGCAGAAATAATTAGAATTGATAGTGCTGCCCTTGTGAAACTGATTTTAATGGATGCTGCCTTCATTTTAGAGGTACTATTAACGGAGACTGAAGAGAAATTCCCTATTTATGATCATGTATTTAATAGCCCACGTAAGATATTTGATGTTGCGAATGACTTGTTTTTGCTTGAAAATCAGCTTCCATTCTTCATTCTTGAAGATTTGTTTGGGCTAGCGGATATCGACATATCCTTGGACAATCAAGAGAAGCCTTCTATTCTTAAGATTATCCATCAATTCATCTATCGTAATTGGGATTACCTAGGAATAGAGGAGAACCTTGATGAAAGTAAATATTCAGGGGTGAAGCATCTTGTTGAGTTTCTAAGAATTTCTGTTGTACCTTTGAATCCACAGTTGAAAGAGATACAAAAAATTCTAACAACACCAAGTGTGAAAGAACTACAGCAAGCTGGAGTTAAGTTTAAATTGGGGTCAAGCAAAAACTTATTTGATATAAGATTTCACAATGGAATATTAGAAATTCCACTAATCACAATACGAAGTCCCCTGGAAAATCTTTTGAAAAATCTTTTGGCCTTTGAGCAAAGTCACTGCAAAGAAGATCTCTTAAATGACTATATTATCATCATGAATTATCTTGTTAACACTCCCAAGGACGTGGATATACTTGTCCAGTGTCAAATTATTCACAATCCAGTAGGAGATTGTGAACTGGTGTCACGTCTAATTCACCGCCTTAATCAACGGCCTTTTTTCTGTTCTCGTTTCCTTTATTCTTCTCTTGTGGAAGAGCTGAACGAGTACTGCAGAAGACCATCGCACCGGTGGAAGGCAACCTTGAAACAAGATTATTTCAAAACTCCGTGGACCACCGTTTCTGTAATTGCTGCTACTATTCTCCTCATACTCACTGTAATTCAAACCATATGCTCTATCCTCCAGGTTAAATAGGTTATAATAGATAATTACTGTGTTTTTCTTTCATGCCAACTTCTTTCTCCATGGCAATATTTATTTCTATGAAAATGGATTCCTTTATGAGTATTGATATTTGCACTAATCAATTTGTACTAATCCAAAATACTAACATTGAAAATTTGAATTTTTTTTTTAGAGGAAAATTCAAATTTTCAATGTTAGTACTTGGATTAATACACATTGGTTAGTACATATAGTTTTATTCTTCCTTTATTGTACTTGTAGTGAAAGTTGGTTCAAAGTAATTTCAGCTTTGTTTAACACACAAAATACAGTAGCAAAGAAGATTGAAAGTCAAGTATAATTTCTGAATCAAATATTAATTTAGTTTGGAAACAGAGAAGAAATTAGAGGAATAAACTATGCAGAAGCACTGTATTTAACTGCTCTAGATTATTTAAATCTTGATTTAATGGTTTTAGATGCCGCCGGCGGATTATACTTGTGAGAAAAGTTTAAAATGAATCATTTGCGTATGGTTGTTGGCGGCGCATGAAACAGCTATGTTTCTTTTGAGATTTATAAAATCAGATCAGTTAGAGACATGATGTAAATTAGGGTTTCAAAATTCAAAGTAATATAATTTATTTTATTGAATATAGTTACTTCACAGCCATTTTGCCAATGGCCCAGCGGTTCAGTATTCCAAACATAATAGACTTTCACTATGTTATTATATTTGGGCCATTAATAACGGGCTGGTTTTCTAAATGGGAATAATACAAAACATGCTTCCCGGCCCTGGGATGCCTGGTAAACGCGGGTATCCGGCCCGTGAAATCTTGTATATAAATAATTTATATTGAATAACTTAAATTAAACATGAACTTCTTAAAAAAAAAAAAAAAAAAAAAAAAAAAATGCATTATATCTAGATTGATTGTCTGATGATGATCAGACTGGACCATGGTGCAATTAATATTAAAGAAAGACTCTGCATAAATGATGTTATAAATTACACATTTTATTTGTCATGACTCATGAGACTGGTGTTCTAATAAAAAAAGACTTTGTATAAATTAATAATGTCAAAAGTTCTTTGTTGTTATTTAATTTGTCAAAGCATCTCTTACAAATACATCTCATTGTGCTGTTTTCTGCACATTTCATTACTGACTTTTGAGTGTTTTTGGGCAGAACTGGCTTTCGACAGGAGCAGGGTAATTCAAGGCTGCAGGATATTCAATCATGAAGATATTGTCAAGTATAAATGCACATATATATTCTGAGTTCTGTAATCATTAGTTCTTTCTTGATTTTGATAAAGATAGGACTTTTGTTAATGATTGTGCTATTAGTGATCAGGATGGAGAGTAATGTTGACATAGGAAATGAATAACTGGAAAGAAGTGATCATGCAGTGTTTGACATTGATGAAAACCCATACTTAGAATTGCCAACTTCTATGAGGAGTGAAATTGAATCATTCTATCCTTTATCTGGTGAATGCAGTATCCATACAGTTCTCGAGTATCAACGTCAATTACATGAAAAGGCCTACACACCTCAAATTGTCTCCATTGGTCCGATTCATCATGATAAAAAAGAGTTAAAGGGCAATGGAAGTGTTTATAAAATTTGTAGAGGAAAATGAAAGAGAATTGCGTAATTGTTATGCAGAAACTATTGATCTTAACAGTGACAACTTTGTGAAAATGATTTTAAAGGATGTTGCCTTCATTTTTTAGGTACTATTAATGCATTTTAAAAAGGATGACCCTAATTCTGATCGTGTATATGGTAGTGCCAAAAATGATTTTGATGTTATCGGTGACTTGTACAAGCTCGAAAATCAGCTTCCATTCTTCATTCTTGAGGATTTGTTCAGGCTAGCCAACATTGGCATATCTTGTGCCCCTAAAGTGAAGCATTCTTTTTCTTGAGATTACCCATAATCTCACCGGATGTCGTTGGGGTTACTTAGGAGTGGTGTGTAAATCTAACGTCAATTATGAAAGTAAGTTTGTGGGTGTCAAACATCTTGTAAACTTCCTAAGAATTTCCAGTGTACCTTTGAAGAAGAATATTGAAAAGAAACCAAAAATTCTAACAACACCTGGTGCAAAAGAACTACATCGAGCTGGAGTTAAGTTTAAGTTGAGATCATCAAGTAAAAATTTATCTGATATAAGATTCCAGAATAGGATATTGGAAATTCCCTTTCATGGTTTCTCTCTCTTACGAAGCATTGCGAGAACAGGAGGGATTGAGAGTACTTATAATTCACTGCTTGTTTATTTCATGCCATATTCTCTCCATGGAAATATTTAGCTTTTATGTAAAATGGATTCCTCTACTATGCTGCTTGAGTAAAATTTATTTTATGTGACATTCGGTTTGTGCCCACTTTTAGAGTCAAGCTTGAGACATTACTTTCTGTGTTCCCTTTATTACACAACATTCAAACAATTCAAGAGTGAAAGTGGAGTTTAACATCTGCATTAGAACAGGGAAGAAATTAAAACAGAGGAATAAACTATGCAGAACCTCTATTTTACAACTTTGTTTACTGCTTTTCTATCGATGTCTATAAATTTCTGGAAGAGATGCATGTACAGTTTTCAACCAAAATAATAGCGATACTAAGGTGAATTTCTTCTAGAACTAATATATTATAAGCTTTATTGTGTGTTTTTAGGGTAAATGTCAACATCACAAACAAATAAAACTTTTAATTACATTAATATATCTAGACATAAATGACATACAAGAATTCAATTGTATGTGATTTACTTAGATATAAATTAACTGCAAGAATTTAATTATAATGTCACACATAAATGGAGGTACCAGGATTCTGTTTCCTAATGTCTTCTTTTAATATTTAAGATGAAATTTTGAAATAAACCGTATAAGACTTATCTCTGAAGCTCAAAAATGGAGCCAGAAGAAAATTCTTTGTCCCTCCTTTCGCCACAAAGCTCATAGGATGATACTTACTCATCCCTTTTCCCATTACAAAACTGGCTGCCTTCTTGAATCCATGCTTTGATTTGTTGCAGCTGATCTTCAGGATTGCACCTGCCTTCAACTTCGCACCACTATACACGAAGCAACCCTTTCGGGTTTCCAACTCCAACGATTTTGTTTCAGCTTTTTCATCCAATCCCGCAACCAAATGGTAATTAGAAGAGCTTCTACTTCCAGGAGAATTCGCTGCCACAAGTTTATGATCTTTTCCTTTCTGCAGCAACTTTCCTGGAAGATCAAACGGTTCTAGAGTGACTGATTTGCCGATAACATATTTGACTGATGAAAATTCTGGGGTAGCTGCATCATTAAAGATGAGTCTGAAAGTGGCATAAACAGAAGCATTAGTGCCGCGTGCCGGAAGCTTTTCCATTGTAACCGATTGGTTGTTAGTTAAGACGAAAGTTGAATTTCCAGAGACTTGAGAAAGCGTTACCAGGTTAGCATTGTATGAGGCAGGAATTGGGGTTATCCATTCTGAAAGAGATTTAGCTGTTTTATTTTTTATTTCTGAAGAATTGCCTGAAGAGCAGAATAATCAGGCCGATCATCTGAACAGAAAAAAAAAACTTTGTCAATCTTAAACATCTCAGAAAATATAGAGTTTGTTTATGTAAATTACTCGTGAAGATACCTTTAATGGCCTCTGTCCAAAGATGGATCGGAAACTGAATGGTTATTTGTCGCTGGAGCTCCATTTCCTTGTCACAGTAAGATAATTACCTGAACTAAGAATGCAATTCAATTGTCATACATGAAAAAAAGAAAAAGAAAATGGATCCCTTTCTGTCTAATTGAATTACAAACCCGGAGCTGGTGCAGTCAATATCTGGTTTAATTTTGCCTTAATACCAGTCAAACTTATCCAACTTGTTGTCCGCAAATTCAAGGTTGATATTACTGCCCCCTCCACAAGTGAGATCCATGTCATCAAGATTAGTTCTGATTCACATTTGTGCTTCGATCAAGTAATGAACAATATGATAAAATGAAGTAGGTACCTTGGTTGAGGAGAATGTTAGCGTTAATAGAAGGTAAGGATCCGATGAAACAACAGGATCAACAGTTTGATTCAGCACAAATTTTCCGAATTCCCAAATGATCGAGCTTGATACATATTGGAATTTGTAGAGAGCAGGAACTTCACCTACCTCTTCAAAATATATGGAATCTCCTAATTTGGAGAACGAGTCAATTCCTACAAGAGCAGAAAAATGAAAATCTATCAAATGCTCGTTTCATAAAAAAGTCTAATTATGACATCATAAAAAACAATGGATTCGATACCTGTTCTATAACAGCACCAAAACTGTCAAACTTTGTTCCCCAACCATAAAAACTATTGGCCTTGGAACTTCCAGGGCCTAGTGGAAGCATATAAAGCATAATTCCAGGATCCGTCCTCCGTTGAATGCTAAACGCACTATTTGTCAGTACCAGTGTTCCTTCATTGTTGATCCTCTGGTTGCATATGTGTGGGAAGAGTTAACAATGTCAAAGAACAAAGTCGCCATGGTCTGGCAATCCAAAGATTAGCAGACTTTTAGAATTAATATTTTTCCAAAATGAGATTATGATATTGAGAAATTATAAAATAAGAAATTGAAAATTAAATTACCTTGGAAAGAGGATCACCAGTGATTCATCCCGCCTTTGCGTTCCAACAAGAATAGGTATATGTGCATTGGCATGCATACCAGCTAGGAAATCAGCCTACAAGAATAAGAATAAGAAATTGAAATTGCATGAATTTATTTAATTACATCAAGAGAATATAGCATATCTGGAAAACAATGTAAAAGTTACCTGCCATGCAAGGGGTCCTAAAAAGCATGATTTGTGATGCAGGGAAAATAGTGTTAAATTAGGATTTAATTTTGTTTCCCTTTCTTTATTTGATTTTCTTATTTATTTAGGGTTTCATATTAGGAATTAGAGGAGTTACCTGAGGATTTACCACCCATGAGGGAATTCAGCACCATATTGATCTAATTCCTGAGCTAGCTTGCCAAACCTACCTCATTACAGGATGAGTCCAAAGGAGAGGAGATTCTGAAAGAAAAGTGGAGAATTACTGGCAAAGGGGTACTCCAAGAGCATGAGTCCTGTAGTTCCTCCTTACTAACGCCAAAGAAAGATGGGATTGGAGAATATGTGTAGATAGAGGGCATAAAAAAATTACTATAGGGTACAAGTTTCCGATTCCTAGGTTGGATGATATGCTTGATAGATTACATGCGGACAATGTTTACCACAGTTTCGAATTAGACCTTGGACGATAGAAACGCTTTTAACAAAGGAGACTTACTACTCTACTTCAGTATCACCACCAGATAAACTTGAGGACGATTTTATTTTTAAGAGGGGGAGTATGATGTAGTGTTCTACAAGAATAAGAATAAGAAATTGAAATTGCATGAATTTATTTAATTACATCAAGAGAATATAGCATATCTGGAAAACAATGTAAAAGTTACCTGCAATGCAAGGAGTCCTAAAAAGCATGATTTGTGATGTAAGGAAAATAGTGTTAAATTAGGATTTAATTTTTTTTCCCTTTCTTTATTTGGTTTTCTTATTTATTTAGGGTTTCATATTAGGAATTCAAGTAGTTTTCTATTTTAATGAAGAGTTTAGTTGATTTAGAAAGTTTTAATTTAGTTAAAATTTACATTCTTATTTTATAATTAATCAACCGTTAGAATTTCTTGTTTTAATTAGTTTTCGTGTTTAAGTAGGATTTTATTTCCTTATTTAATTAGAGTCTTGTTAGAGTTAGCTATAACCGCCCTATATAAACATATTATTTGTTTCTTTTGAGGATATAAAATTCAATAAATTATTTAGATTTGACTTTCGATTTTAAGTTTTAAGTTTCTGGTTTAAGACTTGTATTAACAGTTCTAAAGGCATAGTCGAGTGCTAGACTTGTTTTATCATGCTACTAGTTGCATCAGTTGGTATCAGAGCCAGCAAAGTTTGTCTGATCTAATGGTAGGTGATGAAGTTGTAGGTGGCAGCGGTTCTCATGACGAAGATCAAGGAGCTGAGACCTCGCAAGGGGTGGCATTGAGGGCTTTGAAGCAACTAATGGATCTCAAATTCCAACATTTGGAATGACGCTTTGAAGAAATTGCAGATCGACTTGATGCTTTGAGCGTAGATGCCAACAGAAATAGGAATGACGAAAGGCAACGTACCGAGGATGACACAACTCACAAACGGCCTATTGACAGACCTGTTTTTGCAAATAGACATAGACAGCCAGTTTACATGGAAGAGTCTGATGAAGTAGATGATTATTATGGAGAGCCTAAAAGGAACGTTGGGTATGGCAGAAATCAGTATGGTGACAGAGAATCCAACGAGTTCATATTAAAGGTAGATATTCCTTGCTTTAATGGTAATTTAAATATTGAAGATTTTTTGGATTGGATGGCAGAAGCAGATAGGTTTTTTGAATATATGGAGATCCTAGAGGGGAGAAGGGTGAAGTTGGTCGCATGTAGATTGAAGGGAGGAGCTTTTGCTTGGTAGGAAAGATTACAGGCCAAAAGATTTCATGAGGGAAGAGCACCAGTTAGAATATGGTAAAGAATGAAGCAATTGTTACAAAGGGATTTTCTCCCTCCTGATTATGAACAGATCTTGTTCCAATAGTACCAGAGATGTCATCAAGGACATAAATCTGTGCATGAATATACCATAAAGTTTATGAGGTTGGCGGAAAGGAATGACTTCAGGGAGACTGAAGGCCAGCAGGTTGCAAGATCTTTGAAGGGTTTGAAAGCAGTTATCAAAGACAAAATAGGGGTGCAAGTAATATAGAATTTAGTGAAGGCATGAAACTTTGCATTAAAGGTTTAACTATTGTTGCAAGAGAAGAGTAGACCAAATTATTCACGCAAGAATTACAGTGGGGAGAATTATAGGACAAATAATGAAAGAATAAGGCAAGTCAGCATGTTCTTGCACGCAATGACTGGGCCAAAGAAGAAAAGGCAGCTAGAAAACAGAAGATAGTAGATGTGAAGGAAGGGCAGAAAGCTGCAAATAATCCCTATGTTAAATTGATCCTTGGGAAGTGTTTCAAATGTAACCAACTTGGTCATAGATCGAGCGATTGTCCTTTTAAAAAAGCAGTCCATGTTGTGGAACGAGGAGAAGAGGATGATGAGGTTTATTGTGGTTCATATGGGGATGATGACGAGCATGAGGATGATGAAGATGATGACCAAAACTATGTGGTGAGGAGGCTGATGCTGACGCCAAAACAGGAGGACAACACCCAACGACATCAATTATTTCGAAGCAAGTGCACTATCACTAACCTTTTATTTGATGTTATTATTGATAGTGGTAGTTGTGAAAACATTATTAGTAGAGATGTTGAGAAATTGGGTCTAAAAACTGAGAAACACCCCAACGCATACACTATCGGGTGGATTAACGCAGCGGAGAAACGTCAAGTAACAGAACGGCGCAAAGTTCCTTTTTCCATTGGGCAATACAGAGATGAGGTATATTTTGATGTTATGGATATGGATGCTTGTAATTTATTATTTGGCAGGCCATGGCAATTCGATGTGGCGACACAACATGACGGGAGTGGAAATACCTATAAGTTGGAGAAAGATGGCGTCAAATTCACCTTGCTACCAATGAAAAAGAGTTCCAAAACCAAAGCTTCTAAAGTGGACAGGTGGACCTTCCTTCACTATTACACATTCAGGGTCAGAGTTAAAAGCTACTTTCAAGGCGTCAAGGGTGATGCATGCACTGATTGTGAAGCAAGTATTGACTACTGAAGGGGAATTGAACACAGAAGAGTACCCAGAAGCAATCAAGCCATTATTGGAAGAATTTAGTGAGGTGATGCCAAAGGAGTTACCTGACGGATTACCACCCATGAGGGATATTCAGCACCATATTGATCTAATTCCTAGAGCTAGCTTGCCAAACCTACCTCATTACAGGATGAGTCCAAAGGAGAGCGAGATTCTGAAAGAAAAGGTGGAGGAATTACTGGCAAAGGGGTACATCCAAGAGAGCATGAGTCCATGTACAGTTCCTACCTTACTAACGCCAAAGAAAGATGGGAGTTGGAGAATATGTGTAGATAGCAGGGCAATAAATAAAATTACTATAGGGTACAAGTTTCCGATTCCTAGGTTGGATGATATGCTTGATAGATTACATGCGGCACAAGTGTTTACCACCAGTTTCGAATTAGACCTTGGGACGAGTAGAAAACAGCTTTTAAGACAAAGGAGGACTTACTACTCTACTTCAAGTATCAACCACCAGATTGAAACTTGAGGACGAGTTTATTTTTAAGAGGGGGAGTATGATGTAGAGAAAGTAGTGTTAAATTAAGATTTAATTTTGTTTCCCTTTCTTTATTTGATTTTCTTATTTATTTAGGGTTTCATATTAGGAATTCAAATATGAAACCCTAAATCAGTAGAAAACTACTTGAATTCCTAATTTGAAACCCTAAGTAAATAAATAAATCATATAAAGAAAGGGAAACAAAATTAAATCCTAATTTAACACTATTTTCCCTATATCAATTTGTCAAAGAGTCGAGCCAACATGAAATTCTTTTTATCTCTCTGAGATCAGTAACATAGAAGCAAAATTAACCCCATCAAGATTAAACCCTAAAACCTTCTTCAATCAAAGTTACTAAATCACCTAAATTTCTGAGGCATGGTATGAGTGAAGTATCAGAATAGACAGCAGTAGAAATAAATTCATATGTAATTAATGACATGTCTAATAAAACTATTATAAGTTACTTACCGTTATGTTATATAACCTGTTAAGTGCATCATTCATGCCACCACTTTCTTCATTAAGCGTTTGATAGTGGCCTTCCAAACCATATTTTCTTATAACATTATCAACACGATGGCCAAAATACTCAGCCATCCATATCGTCATATTCAAGGCCAAAGCATTATCAGAATATGTATTTTGATCCAACAACCCGTTCATAACTGTCAGAAAAAAGCCGAACCAAATAAATAAAAATTATTTACTTCTTGTGAAAGGAAAGAAATAAAAGAAATGTTTATCTTGTGGATGATGTAATATGAAGCCCAGACTTCACCGTCTAAATTTTCCAGAAGATGAAATTGCTTGCTTGGGAAAGCAGAAAGATATCTGGAACCAATTTTTTTTCTGACAATCGGATAATGCTGATACCACTCCGGACATTTTTGCTTTCATTTTTTCATTGTGAGTGCTTGCCCACATTAGTGCTGAAGCACTCAAGTAATGGCCTTTAAAATTTTGAAAAAAGTTCGTCATTTGCAGGACGGACTCGAATTAAATTTAGAAGGGGCAAATTCAAAAAATATAATATAACATAGGGGGAAAAAAAAAATGAGTAGAGTCAAATCTACAAAAACAAGTGGTTAAAGTAAAAAACCAAACCTAGTTAATTGAAAAAAGATTGAATGGGGTCACCAGCCCCCACTCGTCATTAAGTAGGTCCGTCCATGAACTCATCTGAAGGTTAATCATTTTTAGAGACAAACATGAATCAGATTTTCAGAATGACATAATTAGTCACGTACCTACAAAATGACCTCTGAGACCAGTGGTTTTATTCTCCCAGCCTCCATATGGAGTCCCTGGAGTTGGCAAACCAGCAGTTTTCCTGAAGCTCCAAAACAATCTATCAACCTTCAACATCAACAAATACTCCAAATTCGTTTGTTGTGCTCTCCAATGCAATGAATTCGGACCCAACTTGACATTATGCAGCAACACTTCCTTAAGATATCCTGAAGGCAACTTAAACTCTACACGATTTTCCATCTGCTTGGAATGGAACTACATTATCACGTACGATAAGAAAGAGAAGTTCAACCGAAAAACTAATAAAAACTTCGAATAAGTTTTAGAAAAAAAAAAAAAACATAATGATAAAATAGATATAGACTTGGGGTACAATTCAGTTAGGGAAGTACTAGATCAAATTATATCAAGCTAACCTCATTAATGTTGTAAATTCATTTATATTTATAATTATTTAATTAAATTAATAATATTCAATAAATAGTTCAATTTTCTATCAAAATATTTTATGAATTAAAATTTCAATTTGGTTATATATTTGTAACAATGGAATCAAATTTACCACAAATATATGTATAATATTTTAAAAATAAAGGATATAAAAATTAAAAAAAAATTAATTATTTCCAAATTAAAGTTATAAATTAACTTAAAATTCACATCATCCTTAAATTGTATAAAGTTAATTAACTTTATCGAAAATTATATATTTAGCATTGTCAAATGGCATCCAAACAGCAAATTATCAAATGATGATCATACTTTATATCACTAAATTAATATAGGGTACGTATACGAATATTAAAATGTATTGGTGAACAATATATAACTTTTTATTAACAAATTGTTTCTTATAATTGTAAGTCAAACCAAAATTTCTTTTAATTGAATCCTATTCTAGTATTAAAGTATCAATTTCTTTATTAATTAACAATTACAGCATAATTTGTGACAAACAGTTAATTACTAATTATACATTTGAATGATTATATATAGTTAATTACTAATTATACATTTGAATGATAGAACATCTTACTCATACCGCGCTTATTTCATTTTATTTTATTTTTATCTTTATTGTAGCATGAGATTTTTTTCGAAACGTAACATTCCTTGTTGCACCATTATATTACTTTTAACAATTTTTCTCATGTTTTTTTATAAAGATTTCATTACCTAAGAGATAGATAATGTTACTGGAAAGAAAAAGATATTCTTAAAGAAATTAGATATTATACAAATATAATTGAATAAATTTATAATGATGCCTTAACCTCTAGGCATAAATGAAATACAAGAATTCAATTATAATTGTGGTAGTCCCAAGTTCTTCGTCAAGGTTTAATTTTGAAATAAACAGTGTACGACTCATCTCGGAAGCTGAAAATCGGAGCAAGAAGAAAATTCCTCCTCTCCTTTTGCCACAAAGCTGATAGGATGATACTCACTCATCCCTTTTCCCATTTCAAAGCTAGCTGCCTGGTTAAATCCAGGCTCTGACTTGTTGCAGCTGAGTTTGAGGATTGCACACGAGTTAAAGTTCACACCGCTATACACAAAGCAGCCCTTTCGGCTTTCCAACTCCAGTGATACTGTTTCAGGTTTCCCATCCAATCCAGCAACCAACTGGAAAACGGAAGAGCTACCATTTCCAGGAGAATTGGAGGCCACAAGTTTTTCATCTGGTCCTAGCTGCAGTAACATTCCTGGTAGATCAAACGGCTCTAGACTGACAGATTTGCCGATAACATCTTTGACTGACGAAAATGCTGAGGAAGTTGCATTGTTAAAGATGAGTCTAAAAGTGGCATAAACAGAAGCATTAGTGCCTGGTACCGGGAGCTTTTCCATTGTAACCGACTGGTTGTTCGTCAAGACGATAGTTGTATTTCCGGAGACTTGGGAAAGGGTAACCACGTTGCTATTGTATGAAGCAGGAACTGGAATTATCCATTCTGAAAGAGATTTAGCTGGTTTATTGTTCATTTCCCAATCTCCACTAGAATAACCGGCAAGCAAATAAGGACCATAGAGTATTGCTTGAAGCGTAGCAAATTGAGGCCGATCATCTGAACAAAGAAAAACTTTGTCAATGTTAAAAATCTCAAACTTTGTAAAGTTTGTATAATTAAATCACTCATGAAGATACCTTTAATGGCCTCTGTCCAAAGATAGATGGGAAGCTGAAGGGTTAATTTGTCACTGGAGCTCCATTTTCTTGTAACAGAAAGATAATTACCTGAATCAAGAAAAAACAATTTTAGTTGATCAACCTGGAAAAAAAAATAGCAATTGAACCCTTCTCTATCTAATTGTATTTCAAACCTGGAGCTGGTACAGTCAAATTCTCGTTGTTTAATGTTGCCTTGATACCAGTTGAAAATGTCCAACTTGGTATCCGAAAGTTCAAGGTTGATTTTACTGCCTCCTGCTTTAAGTGAGATCAATTGCATCAAGACTAGCTCTAGTTCCGTTAACATTTTTGAAAATATAAAATCTACTAATTATCCTGATTCAGATGATAAAATGAAGTTGGTACCTCGGTTGAAGAGAATGTTATCGTCAATCGAAGGTAAGAATCCCAAGAAACAACAGGATCAACAGTTTGATGTAGCACAAACCGTCCTGATTTCCAATTAAACGAGCTTGATACATATTGCACAATGTAGAGAGCAGGAACATTCCCTCCCTCTTCATAATATATTGAATCCCCTAATTTGGAGAATGATTCAATTCCTACATAAGCAGAAAGATTAAAATCTATCAAATATCCAGTTCATTCAAAAGGCTAATTATAACACAACAGAAAGCAATGAATTCTATACCTGTTCCATAACAGCACCAGAAAGTGTCAAATTTTGTTCCCCAACCATAATGACTATTGGCCTTGGAAGTTCCAGCGCCTAGGGGAAGTGTATAAATCATAATTCCAGGATCCGTTCCGCGTTGGATGCTAAACACGCCATTTGTCAGTGCACGCTCATAATAATCTGCATATGCCACTGATTTTGTCCATTTAAGCAGATAGCGAGACACCTACAGGAAAAAATTCACATATGAAATTGTAAGATAAATGATCTAGTTATATATTCTGCTCTAAGCACACACAGTGAATGATTGATTGATTAATGGAATACCTTGAGCATGTTATAAGTTGTACATGACTCTTCGTTCTCTGGACTTAGAGTGGTTGCTAGCCGCATTGGATCTTGCCTACTCAGAAAAATAAAGGATAGATATAATTGATAGAAACTCAGAAAAAGTACCTGAAAATTTAGGTGGCAATTGATGTTTAAATAGAAATTTAAACTCAAAATGCCTTTTTTTTCTTCTTTTTAGTACCAAAATTCCATGGCTGATGTTCCTCCTGTTGCATAACTGTGAGAAGAATTAACAATGTCCAAGAAGAAAGTCCCTATTGTCTGGCAACACAAATATTAGAAGAAGTTAATTTTTTTTCCAGAACTTTTAATTTAAACTAAAATGATTATATATACATATCACCTAAGAAGTTGAAAATTACCTTGGAAACAGCATCACCAGTGATTTCATATCGCCTTTGCGTTCCAACAACAAGAGCAATATGTGTATTGGCATGGAAACCAGATAGGAAATCATCCTACCAGCATAAGAAATTGGATTACATAAAGAGAAAAGAACAAATTGAAGTACTTGTAAGCTCTTAATTTCCTTCCTACATTAGTTGATTAACAAGTTACCTGCATTGCAAGCGGTCCTAAAAAGCATGGTTTGTCAAAGAGTCGAGCCAATATGAAATGCTTTTTGTCCCTCTTGAGTTCAGTAACATAACAGTGGAGCATCAGAATTGATCATTCAACTATATGTATAAACCTCTGCTGAGAGGGCGCAAGAGGTTTGATTTTGCATCATTTTAAAAGCAAAATTTTGCTTAAGTTACTTACCGTAATGTTGTACAACCTGTAAAGTACATCATTCATGCCACCACTTTCTTCATTAAGCGTTTGATAATGCCTTTCCAAACTATATTTTCTTATAACATTCTGAACACGGTTAGTAAAATACTCTGCCATCCATATGGTCATGTTTAAGGCTGGAGTATTATGAGCATATGTATATTGATCCAACAAGCCGGTCATAATCTGTCAGATTTAGCAAGTTTAAAGAATTTTGTCAAATTTTACACAAATATAATAAATAATTAATTGCTTCTTGTGAAAGAAAGAGAAGTTGTGGCGTTTACCTTGTGCATGGTGTAGTACGGAGCCCAGACTTTAAATTCTAAATTTTCAAGGCGATCAAATTGGTCAGATGGGAAAGCAGAAAGATAACCGGAACCAATTTTTTTCTGACAGTCGGATAGAGCAGACATCAGTGCCGACATTTTTTCTTTGAGAGTTTCATTGTGAGTGCTTGCCCACATTAGTGCTGAAGCACTCAAGTAATGTCCTTCAAATTAATTTTTGAAGAAAGAAAGTCATTTGAAACCATATTGTCAACTAAAATTCGGATAACTAGCTACATTACAATTGAAGGTTAATCAAAAAAAAAAAAAAAAACATAAATCAGATTTTCAGAATGATATGAATGACATTATTAGTCACGTACCTACAAAATGACCTCTGAGATCATTGGTACTATTCTCCCAGCCTCCATATGGAATCCCTGGAGTTGGCAAATCAGCAGTTTTCCTGAAGCTCCAAACCAATCTATCAACCTCCAGCATCAACAAATACTCCAAATTCGTTTCTTGTGCCCTCCAATGCAATGAATTCGGACCCAACCTCACATCATGCAATGACACTTCCTGGAGAAATCCTGCAGGCAACTTAAACTCACCAGGATTTTTCATCTTCTTATACATCGATTCCCAGCTACCATCATTTGCTCCAACCGAGGCATTCGTTGGATTCAACTGGTACTGAGATAACATCTCTTGTTTCCAGGTTTCATTTGTTACCAGCCTAGCTCTTGGAGCCTGTGAATCAAATCCAGGAAGTATTTTGTTTGTACACTCCTTACCAAAAGCAAAACCCCAGAAGAGAAACACAGGCAATATTATGTGAATGATAAGAACACATTTCATTTTTTATGTTTGTTTGTTTGATAATTCAAGGATAAAATTCTCAAATATCTATATAATATTTATAGAGAGGAAGTGCTGAGAGACAATGCAGAAGCTGTTAAGATAAGTAAAGAAAATAACCTTCTTGCTGTTAGTCAGTTTCAGAGTACGACTCAAATAATTAAATTGATATGGTCACCCATTTTCTAGTCGTCAAAATTATGGTAAAATATGGAAGTTAGTTTGAAATGATAATATTGGCATGGTCATCCTTACAAGAATAGAAAGAGACGTACTTTTTCTGAGTGAGAAGGATAAGGTATAATTGGTAGTTAATAAAAACCCTCTGCCAGTAGTAGTTATCGTTAGTTTTCACAGTAAGCGTTTGAATGACTTTAATGCCCTCATCCTCCCATGCCTAACACCCCACTTCTTACCGTTGTTCCCCTAAAACACCCAATCCTTCCCGACAACATCTCAACCATCGCAACCAGCAAGCCGCCCACCGCCACCACAATTTACACCGAAAGGAAAAAAGAAACCGTTCGGCATTTCATCGAATATCTTCCATGCTTTTTTGAACTCTCCTCTCCCAACTCCACACCTCCCCGTGATGCGGTGTGGTTGAGGAGATTGGGATCAAAAGATACGACGAGAGGGGGAAACATGGTGGAGAAAGGGGTGCGCATGGCTGTGGATCACTAGGTGGGTACAAGCAGTTGTGCGCACTGCCGAGTAAGTACTAAGTGGTTGTTGGTGGGGCTGCGATTTAACGTTTTGTTTTTATTTTCTTAACTTATAATTTATTACCAAATTACTCTTTTGACCCCGCTCACAAAAAGTAACAGAAAAACATAAACGCTCACTTAACGGTAATAGATATGTAAAATTTTATAAATTAAACTTCTTAACTAAATGTCATGTAATAATAAAGAGAAAATAAATTACAACATATCCATTACAATAGCAACACTAACTAGCACTAGGATTCTGTTTCCTAATTTCTTGTTAAATTAATTTGTAATTTTGAAATAAAAAGTATAACATTCATCTCTGAAGCTGACTACTGGTGCCAGAAGAAAATCCCTCTTTGCTCCTTTGTCACAAAGCTGATAGGATGATACTCACTCATGCCTTTTTCCATTACAAAACCAGCTCCTTGATTAATTCCAGGCTCCCCTTTGTTGCAGCTGATCTTCAGGACTGCACCTGCCTTCAGGTTCGCACCATTGTAAATGAAACCAGGGGCGGATCCCTACCCTCAAATTGAAAAAGATAAATCTAATTATTTAATTTTTTTTAATAATGTTACAATTACAAAGATGTATGTGTAAAGTAATGTACCAAAAAATCAATGTAATAGTAAATTTCACTCTTCTATTCATTTTTTATCATCTCACTTTATATAAAAATCTTTGTAATGTTTCTTTATAAGTATAGAATTAGTGATATTTTTTTGTCAAACTTTTAAGACATTGGCCACTTTATAAATTTTGGGTCTCATTTTTTAAGCCCATATGAAAAATGATAAATTATATATATTTTTTATTTTTATATATAGTTTAGATGCTTATTCTTTTTTTTAAATTCTAGAGCTAGTTATTAGATTCCATATAAAATTCATATTGATAGATTTATGACTTTGATTGTGAAGAATATTAACTAACAATACCAAAATAAACTATAATAATATTAATATTAATAAAAATCCAATGGAAGTTACACCAATAAAACAATGGAAAAAAATGAAAAATAATCTTTTTTTTTTTTTTTTTTTTTTTTTTTTTTTTTTTTTTTTTTTTTTGCTACCAAACATGTTTATATATAATTACATATACCATAGAAAATTCTATGCAATGTTTTCGCAATTACTAGTATTTTTTATATTAAATCAATTTTGTTTAATATATACTATTATAAGACCCTTATCAACAATCTAATTTTTTTTTCTTTATGCCCATCTCATTTAAAAGCTTAGCAAAGAGATTAATTTCTAAATCCCTTAAAAAAAAAAAAAAAAAAAAAAAAAAAATCTAAAGTCTTAAATAATTTATTAATATCAATATCAATGTTATAATTTGTTAGAGGATGTGCGGATATTTAATCTAGACAGTTGAGTTTTGATTTTAACGACTAGATTTGAAGTTATACAGCTTGAAGTTTGATTGCTTCTTTAGTGATTTTAATTCATCTCTTTATAAACATTTATGTATTTTACTTGTGTTAGAGTTATAATTGAACTCTAAATTTGTGTGGAATATATTTTGGTTGATTGTGATTACTGTAAACTCTTTTGATTATATTGGATTTAAGTGGATCGTTAGATTCCCGTGAGTTTTTGCTATCTTCACATTGAAAAGTTTTTCCACTAAAAAGTTTTTGTGTTTCTTTGTGAATTGGATGTTATTTTCAATATATTTATTCAAGGTTTTGCTTCCTATAAATTTATCCAAGTAGGAAAATATTATATTATTGCATTATTTTCTTTTAGCTTCTTAATATTGTATTATTTATTTTGCTCAAAGTTTTGTGGTTTTTTAAAAGTTATCACAAGTTGATAGGCAATAATAACAGAGCCGTAGGCAGGGGGGGATCCAACCCCTTTGTCAAGTTTAAAAGAAAAAAATTACTAATATACAAGCCACAAAAATTTATATTAATATATATATCTAGACTCACCCTCATATTTTTACAGAATGAGAACTATTATACATATATCTAGGCCTATAAAAAACTTACTATTAATATATATATTTCAAGCTCACATTATATTACAAGTTTAAAACTCTCTCCATTCTTCTTCTCTACGGTTTTTCCTATTTTTTATGATTTTATCCCAAAATTCTTTACTCTCTCATTCTCTTTCTCATGCTATTTGATTTTAAAACTTTTAAAGACCGAAATTGTTGAAACTTTCACTACTCAAGGTGCCACAATTAGCTCCATTTTTTGTTTTATCAGTTTTAGGTATGTATATTTCTCATTTTAATTTAATTTATTTTAGGGTTGAATCTTTTTTTTTTTTTTTTTTTTTTTTTTTAGAGGTTCTTTATTCTAATTTGAGGGAAAAGACATAGATCTTACGAGTTTATTTTGTGTTTTGTATCTAAGAATAAACCTACTTTCCCAAATTAAAACCTTTACTATATTTTAAATAACGTTATTCTTCACCTTTTATCCATCCCTTTCCTATATTTCAAATGTTACCATTCAGCTACTCAAAATAATTAAAAAAATTCGACTTATTATCTATTTTTATACCAAGAAAATTCTCCTTTATTTTATTAATTCATATTAAAAGTCAACGCAACATTGACTTAATTTAAGTTTTAGTTTACTTTAGCTTAGGTTAGGTCTGATCAAAGTCATGAAAATTTATATTATAATCTTTGAAAGCCAAAAATTAAAAAAAAAAAAAAATTAAAAGAAGGTTTACTCAAAATTTTGCTTCTCATTGATTTATTTAAGTAGAAAAGTATTGTGTTATTGCATTCTTTTCTCTCGGATTCTTGATATTGTGTTATTTTCTTTAAGGTTTGGTGATTTTTTAAAGTTTTTACTAGTTATTTGGCAAACAATGGCAGAGTCGCGGAGGCCTCCCTTGAAAAAAATCTTGGATCTGCCACTAATCTTGTCCGCCACTAGTCGCCCCACCGTGTTAAGAGTTGGATTAAGTTTGGGTAAATTAATTGGATTTGTAATGGGTACGAGGGTTTCCCTGTTGAAAGAGAGTACTCATGGGAGAACATTCTCTAGTGTAGTGTCGGAGTTGTCGACTACTTAAGCATTAATGGGTTACGCTGACGCATTCTTGGATTCCGTTCCCCGGTGAGCGGACGAGGATCGTGGGGGCAACGCCCCTAGGCTCGTAGGCAGTTTGAGCCTTTTCCATGAAGAGCCGCTATAAGATTTCTTTAAGTCGTTAATTCCTCATTAGGTTTGGGCTTAAGAATAGGAATCTTAGTAAAACTAGGTTTAGTCTCTTAAACTTAGTATATAAACATACTTTTTCTCTTGTTATGAGCAATAACAATCATAGGGCAATTCATTCATTGTAAACGAGACAAACAAGAAAGTATTGCAATAATAATGACTCAATTGGACGTAATCTATATTGGATAAATTAGGGTAAATAGCATTTATTATTTTTTCTCTTTACTATCTGTGATTTATTTGTCTATTATATAGGTTTCGTATTCGTCTCTATTTCGTTCATGTAGTATACTAGTTTTTGTAGTGTATAAACCTCCGTTGGACTGTAATTTACGTGTGGGTCAATGACAATGAGAGTGCCAACAGTTTGAACTAGATTTTATTCATGCAGATTGTGTTTTGCCGTTCTTTACGGTTAATTGTCTGCCTGATTGAGATTAATTAAGATTATGCAAGCTGGAAGGGAAGAAACCTTTGGATTATTTAACTAACAAGCTGGAAGGGAAGAAAACTTGGGATTTTGCAAAGATCAAATAGCTCTTGTGGTTCCCATATTAGACTTTTCTTATAATTACGTATTACTAAAGTGTGAGTGTTGTTAGTGTTGTTAATAGAACGAAAGAACAAAGCACACTCGATGGACGAAAAAAAATGCCAAAAAAAGTAGTGTTCATAACTAACAAGATAAATAATCAAGTTAAGACTATCTATCAGGGTAGAACATGAAGAACTACACAAGCCATTTCAAGCTTGGAAAGAAATGGGAAACTTAAAGAACAGGGATAACTTATTGGCCTTTCTACTCCTGAACCCAAAGTTCTCAAGGGTTCATGTTGAAGTAAACTGTATAAGACTCATCTTTAAAGTTGTACAGTGGTTCCAGAAGAAAATTCCTCCTCACTCCTTTTGCCACAAAGCTAATCGGATGATACTCGCTCATTCCTTTCCCCATTACAAAGCTAGCTGCATTGTTGAATTTGGCATCTGATGACCCTGTGTTGCAGCTGAGCTTTATTTTCAACTTCCTGCCGCTATTTACAAAGCAACCCTTCTGAGTTTCTGATTCCAAGGATACTGTGTCCTTTCCATCCAATCCTGGAACCAAAATGAAAGTAGAGGGCTGAGCACTGGAGGCATCCTGGACAATAAGTTTATGGTCTTTTCCTAGTTGCGCTACAAGCATTCCTGGAAACGCAATTGGTTCTAGCGCGATGGATTTTCTAATAATTTCTTTGATGGATGAGAATTTGGCGGACGGATCAGTGAGGATGATTCGGAAAGTGGCTTGAAGAGCAGCCTCAGTGCCGGATACATTGAGTCTTCCCATTGTGATTGATTGGTTTGAGTTTGTTAACACAAAAGTTGATTCTCCAGAGCCTTGGAAAAATGTAAATAGTTGATCATTGTATGAGGCTGGTATTGGACTTAGCCATTCTGAAGGAGGATGGCCTGCAACAGCCTTGATGTCCCAGTCCCCATTTGTGTGACCGGCTAGCAGATAAGGACCGAAAAGTATCGCCTGAAGAGAAGCATATTCCGGCCGGTCATCTGATCAACAAAACAACTTTGTTTAATCTGTCACAGAACAAATAATTAACTTCGTTATGCTACTCATGAATTTAATTACCTTTAATAGGCTCAGTCCTGAGAGTGATGGGCAGCTCAAGAGTTAGTTTGTCACCAGAGCTCCATTTTTTGTCAAAGGTAGAAAATTACCTGCATCAAGAAAGTGATTTAAATGTTCTCTTACCATTTTAAGACACAGGTGGAATTATAAATAAGAAATGTGCTAAACCAAATTAAACCTGGAGCTGGTACAGGTAAACTCTGGCCATCCAATGTTGCCTTGGAACCACTTGATAGTGTCCAAGATGGTATCCGCAAAATCAGGGAGTATTGGTCAGCCGCCTGCATATATAATGGAGATCAAACTTGGATGATTAAGCAAGTTACAGGATGTGTTGTGACTCATATGATAATGTAAACGTTCTGAGTACCGTGCTCTCGAAGTGACTGTCAGTGTCAATCGAAGGAAAGGATCCCAAGAAACGTAAGGATCAACATTCTGATAGAGAGAAAACTGTCCACGTTGCCAATTGATTGTGCTTGATATAAACTGGATGATGTAAAGGCCAGGAACTTTTCCTTGCTCTTCAAAATATATGGAATCTCCCAACTTAGAGAATGATTCAATCCCTGAAAGAAATAATTACCAGGTTTTTTATTATTATTCAAGTCTTTGTTAGGGGAAAAGTTGAATATGTGAAATGAATCAGAGACCTGTGCCATAACAGCACCAAAAGGAGTTAAACCTTGTTCCCCATCCATGGTAGCTTACTGCCTTGGAATTTCCACGGTTTAGAGGAAGCATGTAAATCATCACTCCAGGTTCTCTTCCTCGTTGGATACCGATGACTCCATTTGTCAGGGTGCCTTCATAATAATCCGCATAAGCCATTTCATTTGTCCATGTAAACAGGTGGCGCGCGACCTACAAAATCAAATGAAAGTGCTATAAAATTGCAATGGCAAAAAAATAAATAAATAAATAAATGAATCCTGAAGCTAGTTCTGTAACAAAAGTGAGCAATGGACTTACCTTCAGCATGTTATAAGTTGTGCATGATTCTTCAGTCTCTGTGCCTAAAGTGGTTGCCATTCGGTCTGGATCGTGCCTTCAATAATCAGATAAAGGATTCACTTGAATAATGTATGAACTAAATATTCTTAATGTCAATTCAGAATGGCACATGGAAATTAAGGCCGGGGTTTAAATTATTACTGAATGAAGAAAAATTTTAACTGAAAGTCGCTAAAATCAGTACCAGAACTCTCCTGATGATGTTCCTCCTGTTGCATAACTGTGAGAAGAGTTGATAATGTCCAGGAAGTACATCCCGATTGCCTGTTGAGCCATTGTTATGTTAGCAGAAATCAAATTTTTTCTGAAATAACGCCTGATAATTGAGCAAAATCTTCTTTCTCCTATCTCCTAATTATGTCAATTCAGGCAAATAAAATTGTCCCTAGTAAGCAATTTACCTTGGAAAGTTCATCACCAATGACTTCATACCGCTTTTGCGCTCCAATAACAACTGGGATATGAGTGTTGGCATGGAAACCAGTAATGTCATTACCCTCCAAGCATAAGAAATAACTTTTATGATTGACTTCAAGAGCACGTAACAAATGAAACTTCTATACTCATCTCTTATTATGACATTCATAAACATTTGACTCCTCTAAATACCATTTCCTGCAATCCTGAACGTGAAACTCAATACTACTGTGATTTCAACATATAATCAAATTACTCTTTTATCTGTTTTATATAAAATCAGAACCAAAACTTTATAGTTACCTGTACAGCAAGCAACCCCAAGAAGCATGGTTTGTCAAAGAGGTGAGCCAACAGCAAGTGCTTTGGATCTTTCTGGGCACAGTAACACAAAAATCATGTCAAGAAAATCAGATTTCTCAAAAGTTCAGAAACATGGAGCTACCTATCTAAAATACAGGGGATTTACAAACAGAAGAACAACCTACCGTGATGCTGAACAACCGGTAAAGCTCATCATTCATGCCACCAGATTCTTCATTAAGAGACTGGAAGTGTCTTTCGATACTGAACTCCTTTATGACATTCTTAATACGATTGTGAAAATAGTCAACCATCCATATGCTCATTTTTAAAGCTTGATTATTCCCAGCAAAAGTATATTGATCCAATAAACCCGCCAGGATCTGTCAAAGGAGACAAGTTTAAAGCAAGTTCTAAATTTAATCAAGTTTTGTTAATTTTACTTCTATCATGTAAAGCAAAAAAAAAAAAATAAAGTACTCTTCACCTTGTGAATGGTGTAGTATGGAGCCCAAACAGGTATTAGAGCTTCAACACGATCAAATAGCTCAGTTGGAAAAGCAGAAAGATACCCAGTTCCCATTTTATTCTGACACTCAAATAAAATAGACACCACTGCTGTCATTTTTTCCCTGAGAGTATCATTGTGAGTGCTTGCCCACATTTGTGCTGTAGCACTCATGTAATGCCCTTCAAATTCCCAAAAATAAAAGGATGAAATAGTGATTCCTGTGAAATGATAACAAGAACTTTTATTGAAGACAATGACCAGAGAAAACTTATACCTACAAAATGACCCCGGAGCTCAACATCTGGTGCTTCCCAGCCTCCATAAGGATTTCCAGGAGTGTAAAAAACCAGCCGTTTTTCTGAAGCTCCAAACTAAACTATTAACATCAAGCAACAACAGATACTCCAAATTCGTTTGCTGTGCAATCCAATGCAATGAATTGGGATCCAGTCTTACATCATGCAAGGAGACTTCTCCAAGAAAATCTTTTCCAGGCGATTGAAACGTGCGCGGAATTTTAAGCTTCTTGTACATTAATGATGCCCAGTTGGCATCATCTTCCACACTCAACAGCTTCCTCGCCGAGTCATATTGCGGATGATAATGAGCTGGTTTAATTTGGTAACGAGAGAAAACTTCTTGTTTCCCAGTTTCATTTTTGGATGTTAAGAGTTCGAATCTAAAATATGTGTTGAAGGCTCGAGAAAACCGTTTGTACATAACTTAGCTGAAGCTGCATTGTAAAAGAGAAACACAACCAAAACGGTAAAGAACCAGAAACCCTTCATTTTTTTTGTTCAGAGCTTGGACACGACAGAGATTTCCAAGCAGAACAAGAAAAAAACTTAACCAAAAAAGACAAGGGAAAAAAAAATTTCCCACGAAACACAAACTTAAAGAACAAAGAATGGCTTCGTGAGAAGCTTTAAAAAATTAAATCTCAAGCACAGTGAAAGATCTACGCCAACAAGGTGTATATGTTATGACTTAAGAGATTGCATTAATCTAACGGTTGGACGACTTTGACAGATCATGCTGAGATATGGAATGCAAATATATGTTTTAATGTAAGTATTCTTTCCTTATATTGCCCGTGTTGACATGTGAATGACTGTACAAGCCATATTTGGAAGATTTGTAATATTGTCCAAGTATGGTACCTTAGGTAGAATTATATTATTTCCTTGTACGTATTGATTTACATTTATTCCTTTTATTTTATTTCCTTACATGTTACATTTGCAATTGTATAAATTGTAACTCTTGTACATGAAATATATATACCAAAATCATTCTTCTCTCTTTCTTCCCTGCTTATACTCTCTAGGCATACTCAACAACTTTAGTTGCTTCTCTTGCCTCTCTTCTTCTTGCACTCTTTGGTAACTCAGTTGCCTCTTCGTGCTACTCCAATATCAGACTCATACATGGTATCAGAGCCAGGTTGCCCTGCCAGCCACTCTCCTTGTTACGTGCCAATAATCCAACTCCTATCCCTTTCTTTTTTTCCTGCAAAACAAATTCTAGGATTAGTCCTTCAAAACCAAATGGATCCAAGCCAAACAAACTCAATTGGGTCTGATCCAACAAACAACCAAATTGATCCAAACCCAAACTGAAACAGCCAAGCCAACCCAAACACACAAACAGGCCCAAATATAGAGCTCAATCAAGACAACCAAACCAGGCCTAACCCAAATACTTTTCCAAGCCCAAACACCTTTTCTTTTGGGTTTAGGGGTCAAACCGGCCCAAACCCATTTCCCTACCAATTCCAGATCTTATAGCCCTAACCTCGTCGGCCGAAGCCTGGTGATCCCCTATATTCCTCTCTATCTGATGGACTAGAGCTTGTTCTTGTTAAACATGTTCTCACCGGTACAAAGAACTACGTGACATGGGCTCGTGACTTTCGGCAAGCATTAATCACCAAAGACAAAGACGGGTTTATAGATGGCACTATCACACCACCAGAAGAACCCCATCTCCATAAACTTTGAACCAGATGTAACATGCTGGTCCATTAATGGATCGGCAACTCCCTGACCCAGGAGATTGACGCTGGTTTACCTCCAACAGAAATCGCCGAGGAGCTCTAGCGATTTATCAAGGAGATGTATTGTCAGTTGGATCTGGCCAAACTCTTCACTCTACAACAAAGTCTCGCTAACGTCAAGCAACAGAATCAGACTATGACGGTATATTACAATCGACTCTCGACCTTCTGGAATGAGCTTGATGTCGTCACCAATCCTCTTCGTGGACCACCGGAAACACTGTAGCAATTCCAACAGATCAAGGAACAAGATCGTTTAATCTATTTTCTCCTTGGATTAAACGATAATTTCCTGGCTTTTTGCACCCAAATGTTGGCCACCACATCGCTGATGTCTCTTTGCCATGTATACCAACTTGCTATCCAGGACGAGAGTCAACACCTAGCCCCCATGGAATCACCCAGGTTGGGTGATTCCATGGCCTTTGCCGCCGATAGAGAAACCAAAAGGGAAGGGTTACGGCTAGGTTTTCCAAATGAGAAAGAGAAAGGTAATGTTTTATACAAAGGAATGAATGGCCAGGATCATCTCCAGCAATCTGACGGCCCACAAGCAATCAACCAAGTCAATGGAGTCAACAGTCAACTTGACCAACCTTTGGGAAATTCATCTAATGGCTCATATTTCATCAACTCTTAGAATGGATCAACTGGTTCAGGATTATCCCGGTTGAGCAGAAAAATGTATTATGACTACTGCAAAAGGCGGAACCACAATCGAGACAGATGCTGGAAATTACATGGTTACCCTAAGGACAAAATTGGCAATCCGACCGCAAATAGTGTGACTGTCACTACCACATCATGATATGAGGCCCAATCATCCTTGATCAAGCCTAAACAAATCACTTAACTCATCTAGATGCTGAATCATCTCCCAACAAACAATGCTTCCACTAGTTATGCAGGTACATCTTTTTGTTTCAGTAATTCAATTTCCTGTGATTTATGGATTTTGACTCAAGTGCTAGTGATCACATAATTTGTGACCCTAAATATTTCCAATCACACACAAACACTATTACACAATTATCCGTTCGAATGCCGAATGGTAATATTGCCAACGCAACCCACATAAGGGTAGTCAAACTTACTAAAAGTATAACTCTCGGAAATGTCCTTTTTGTCCCTGCTTTCAATTTTAATCTCATATCTATATCCAAATTTTACACTAACAATGATTGCACATTGCAATTCCTTTCCGATGTGTGTACCTTTCAGGACCCTTTGACTGGCAAACAAATAGGCTTAGGTAAGGCCAACCAAGGTCTCTACTACTGGGAGCCTTTTTCCTTTTTTCCTAGAAATAAAAACTTTATTGTAATGCCAATTTTAATAATAAATCTTTGATTTTCCATCAAAGAATGGGTCACAGTGCATCTATACCTCACTCTAATTGTCCAATTTATCCCATTGCTAAACAACCAAGAACAAGTTTTCCCATTAGCACATCCTCCACTAAACATCCTTTTGCCCTAATCCATCTTGATATCTGGGGCCCATACTCTGTTCCCAATCATGATGGATCCAGTATTTCCTTACTGTCATGGATGATTCTTCATGCAGAACCTGGATATTCTTGATGCAATCCAAAGCTCAATCCTTTTCTCATATCCTTAACTTTCTCTCCATGGTCCAAACACAATTCAAAACATAGGTTCAAAGGGTTAAGACTGACAATGCTTTAGAATTTTTTAACCAGCAGTGTTCTTCCTTGTTCTTTTCCCACAGGATTTTCCATGAGAGTTCATGTACTTATACTCCTCAACAAAATGGGATTATTGAACGAAAACACCGTCACCTCTTAGAAGTAGCCTGAGCCCTCAAACACCAAGCCCATATCCCCACCACCTTTTGGGGCGAATGTGTGATTATTGCTACATATCTCATTAATCGCATGCCTTCACGAGTTATTAGAGGTAAAACTCCTTTTGAATCACTGTTTGGAAAGATACCTGATAACACTCACTTATGAGCTTTTGGTTGTTTATGTTATTCCACCATAATGGGTTCCCATGACAAGTTTGCTCCTCATGTCAAGAAATGTATTTTCATGGGCTATCCTATGCTCCAAAAAGGGTATCGTCTTTATGATCCTAAACTTAACAAATTCTTTGTTAGCAGAGATGTTGTCTTCCATGAGAGTTTTTTTCCTTTCTCGGAAAGTGCCATTGCATCCCCTCCATCAGCTTCTGCCTCATTGGATCATCAGCTAGATACTCCCATCACTATGGTTCCCATTCTGCTTACTCAGCCAGAGTCTGATCATACTCCTTATTCGCATCCTGACTCCACAGTTTCTGATACACCTCCAGGATCTCCCCACACCACAGATCCTTCCTCTTCGGGTCCTACTCAGGATACTTCTCCACCTATATATATGGCAATTCCTACTCCTTCACCAGCTACTATTCCTTTACACCGATCTTCCAAAGCTTCCCAGCCACCTATCTAGATGGCTGATTTCATTTGTTCCACTATGGAAGGTACTACTTATCCCATATCTAAATATGTCAGTTTTGATAGATTATCTCCTAGACACAGATTCTATATAAGCAATATTTCTGCCGATGGGGAACCAGTCACCTTTTCTTATGCCGTTCGGCATGATTGTTGGCGTCAGGCCATGGAGGCATAATTAAATGCTCTAGTCAACAATCACACATGTGACCTCGTTTCCCGACCCTCACACAAGAAACCTATTGGTTGTAAGTGGGTCTACAAAATCAAATATTGTGTTGATGGTTCCATCGAAAGGTATAAAGCTCGTCTTATTGCCAAAGGCTTCACTTAAAGGGAAGGGTTTGACTATCTGGAAACCTTCTCCCTTGTAGAGATGGCAATGGGCCCAACATTTTCGGGTATCCAGCCCGGCCCGGCCCGAAAGGGACGGGCTTTACCCGAGGTTGGCGGGCTTGGGCTTGGGCCTGTGCTTGATTTTAAGGCCCAACCTCGGGTACGGGCCGGGCATGGGTATATCTTTAGGCCTGGCCCGACCCGTCCCATCCCAAAATTTTAGTATTAATTTTACTAATTTACCCTTATACTATATATTTAATTACAATATTATCCTACACACACACACACACACACACACACACACACATATATATATATATCCTTTTTTCCCAAACCCTAACCTCAATTTTCATCCTATATTGAAGGTTTAACATGTTAAAATTGCCTTTAAATGAGTTAGATGTGTTTGGTTTAACTTATAAAAATGAATTTTACCGTAACATATTATGTACAGTTGAAAAGTTAGTATAATCAAATATTATGGAGTTTTAATTGCTCACTTATTGCTTAAATTATTTGCGGAAATAGCTTCAATTAATATTTAAAAGCTATTTCTAAAATTAAAAATATAAAAAAAAATTGAAATTTATTAATATTTAAAAATAAATATTATTAAAAAAGGCGGGCTTGGGCCGGGCCTACGGTTATAAAAAACCCGTCGGACCGGGCTTGGGCTTTGCCTATCATACCCGTAGCGGGCTCGGGCCAGGCTTGGGCCTGTGTCATGAGGTCGGGCTTGGGCCTGGGCCAAGGGGTACCCGGTCCCGGCCCGGCCCATTGCCATCACTACTCCCTTGTAGCCAAACATGTCACTGTCCATACATTCTTTTCTGTAGCTTCTCACCATGATTGGCCACATTTCTCCATGGGGATCTTGATAAGGAGATTTATATGAATATTCCTCCCAGTCTTCGCAATCAGGGGGAGAATCTA